GATTTACAGAGCACCGTGAATCTAAACCCATGGATGATTAAATACAACAGAGATTTTTGGAGTTTTTTCGTTATTTATTTTCATTAGAGAACATCCATGGGCTCAGGGTGAGGTCAGACCATGCAGACCCCTGGCCTAAAGAGACAACAACCTGAACCAGCTCAGGTAGTTGAAGTGAGGTGGGAAAATGTGGGGAGAGCAGTCAGCCTTTAGCCAGTGAGGTTCAGTCCCCTGCTGCTTCCTGTGCTGGTTTGTCAGAGGGGAACTCTGAGCACATCCCTGAGAGCTCAGGAGGAGGATCACAGCCAGCTCTGCCCTGTGCAGGGTCATTCCCTCTCTCCTGGGGAAGCTGAGTCCCACGGCTGGAAGGAGCAAAGCATCAGTGACAGCAGCTGGAAATGAAGGAATCGGTCAAGACTCAGGGCTTTGCTTTCAGCTGCACTCAAACTTTTGTCCTCATGGCTTCTTTTTTAATTTCAAGGGTAAGCAACTGGTCCCCTTTGCCTTTCCCATCAAGGCTTGCCTTTGCTTCTTAAATCCTGTTAAGACCTTTGGAGGAGCAGCTTTGAATCCATCCGTGTAGCCAGCCTGAAGGAGAGCTGCTCACCTGCTCACCTGCTCACCTGCTCACACTGCTCACCTGCTCACACTGCTCACACTGCTCACACTCTGCGGTTTCTGCACCTCCTGGACTTGGGTGGAGCCAGTGCACACTGACATGGAGCTGAATTTGAATTACACTGCCTTGTGGATGGAGAGCTGTGCTCAGTGTCATGTCAGTCAAATGAAACCTTCAAAAATAGAATTATGCTTTGGGCTGAATACAATGTTGTCATTGTTTAATTGTCCCCTGGAAAGCAAAAAAAAAAAAATCTCAATAGCAAAAGCATCCAAAAAGCTGTTGTCATAGGGCCAAATGTGCCTTAAATTCTACCGAATTCTTTTGTGTCTCCCTTTCTTTCTAGGTTGCCTTCTGTAGCTGCTCCTACTGTGTAATTAGTCTAGTGCCAAATATAAAATACAAGAAACTGGCTTTCTGCATGGACACAGGACAGAGCAGTTAGGCCAATGTAGGAGGCCTCATATTTCCAGTATTTCTGTTTCCTCCAAAGCGAGGAGAGCAAAGCTCCTGAATTCTTAATTTGGTCAAATATTATTTCTGAGATAGAAGTGTTTGGTTTGTTTATCTTTTTTATTCTGAAGAATACTTTGCTATCCCTGGTCTCTGGCAGACATAGTCCTTCCAAAATGTCAGATATTCGTGTTTTCAGTCCAGCCCTGGGTTGTGCAGGGGGTCAGGTGGAAGGTGCTGGAGGCATCTCAGGGGCCCAGCCTGCCCTGCCCACTGTGGGTCAAACCTTCTGCAGCTGGCAGCTGCCCCTGGATCCCCTGCCCATCAGCTGCTCTGCCTCTTCTGTGCCAAAGACACATTTTACTGTGAGCCTCGGATCCCTGCCCCTGATGTGTGAGTGCTGTTTTCACTGCAGATAATTTGCCAGCACCAAAAAACATCTCACAGCATTGACTGCAGGAATTTTTCATCTCAGGACACTGATTTGTGCTTGCCTTTCTTCCAAGGACTGACTTGGTACATTCCCTCTGCTCGAGGAGCTGCCCCCAGTTCAGAATTTCAGTGCATCTTCTACTGCTGCAGGCTCAGTGCTGAGGTGTCCCCAAATGCACCTGGAATGTTGTCAGGGATGCTGTTTGCCCTTCCTAACCAGAACAACCAAAATGCTGTCACCTGGCTCCAGTGGCATCCCAAATTCTGCCAGTGCACTTCTGGGCAAGGTTAGGAAAGAAGGATGTGAAGAGTGAATGTGTGGATATCTGACACACAGAGGAGGGTGGAGGCAGAAATGTGAAGGAGCTGTGCTGCAGCAAGGTTATTTTCTCACTACCTGGCCTGAATATGTAAAAAGTGTGTTTGCACACCCATCATTGTGCCACTCAGGGCTGGGGGCTGTTTAGCCCTGTGCAGTGCTTGAAGTGCTGGTATTTTGTCAGCTTGGTATGGAAATTTAACAGCTTTGGTTTTTTTCCAACAAGAATTATGGGTTTGTAATGAAATAGTTCCGTGAATAAAAGTAATGGAGAAGAGAGTAAAATTTGTCCATACAGATAAAAAAAGGTAAAAGTTTGCCCAGAGCTCTGTTCTGCACCAGAAATTATGTCAAAAACTGTTTCTGTCTAAGCAAACTAGCCTTTGGTTTTAACACATATTGATGGCAGAACTCTTCCTTTGCTTTATATCAACAAGCAATTCCCCCAGACCTCACTCAACAGTCATGTAAGATTTTGAAATGATGATTGGAGAAGCAGATCTAATCCTGCCTTATAAGCACTTTCCTTTTGAGACTGTCTGCTTTGATTCTCTTCCTGACCTTTTTTAATTCTCATGGTATAATACTTGGTTTTTTACAGCTGGCAAAGCCTGTTCTCCCACTCTTTTCTTTCATAGCCAGTATTGACCATTTGCTTACTTTTCCCAGATCTCTCAGTGGAATTTGACACTTAATGAACTCTTGGTTTAAAAGTGCAGTTAAAAGAATAGAGTTGTTTTTCCTGTGGTCCTGGCCTCCCTAGCTGTGGCTTACCTGTGGAGAAAATTCCCATCTGGTAGACATAATTTGGCTCATTTGCCTGAATTTCTTGACGTGGTGATATGACTGAAGTTCCTGATCTTTTCCTAGCCTTTAAGAAATAGGAAGAGCTGGACCTTGGGTCCTGTTGTGCAGAAATCAGACTAAACGGCTTGGCCATGTGGATGGGACTGAAGCTGAAGTTTGTGGTGTAAATACTTTTCAGTTTGTTTGGGGTTTAGTTGTGGGGGTTGTTTGAATTGTTTTACTTCAGTATTCAACAGCTTCACTTGCCATTGAAAGTTAACAGCAGCCCAGCCCTGCACAGCCAGCCTTGTTTTCATCAGCCCTTCTGAGAAAACGTGCACACACTTGGCCTAAACCTCTCTATGGTTTGTGTTTGAAGTCTGAATCATGGGATTTATTTTTTCTGTTTTTTTATTGCTTGGTTTCATCTTTTGTCACAGCTCTGTCAGTGTCTGTTTCCTTCTTTGTTAGAGCTATATTGTATGGGGCAGAGGGCAGTGCTGGCTGCAAAGGCATCAGTGTGAACAGGAGGATGTCACCATTTTCTGCTCCTTTTCTAGGTGCTCAAATGACCCAGCCCTTGTTGTATCTGAGTAGATCTAGAGTTACCCCCACAGTGGTGAGTGCAGAGTCCCTGTAACACCAGGCACAAAGAGAGACAGACAGACAGACAGACAGACCATGACCCACAGGACTTTTATTGGAGGTGTGCCTGCCCTGCAGCCCAGTGTGCTGGAGGCACCAGTGGCTTCACTCGAGTACAGCAGCTGCAGCACACAGGAAACTTTAATCCACAAATCCTTCCCAGAAAGGAGGCTCACCTCACCCAGAGCCCTCTGTGACTGCAGCTGTGCTCCAGGCTTTTGGAGCCATGTGCTTTACAGCTCTCACAGCCCTGCAGTGCTGCCACTGGCACAGCTGCACTGTGACCCTTGCAGGGCCGTTGTGATACACAAAGATCAAAACTTGGAAGTTTGCAAAATAAGGCATCCTAATATCAGCACTGCTGAGCTGCAGCTGCTCCTCTTCTGTGCTGATGTTTGTGTAGCTGTGGGGAAATCAGTTCCATCAGCAAGATGGAAACCAAGCAACTGGGTCACTGCTTGTTCCTTGATTTTTCTCTTTGCATTTCTAACACTTTAGGTTATGGCTGCTGGAATTGATCTCAGATTACTTGTTAAGCATGGGGATAAAAAAAGCCCTCAGTTGTTTAATATCAACAAGCAGATTTTTTAGACTTCACTCAACAGTAATGCACATTCATATCGTGTGTCTTGAAACCAAAATGCAGCCTTACAAATTGCTAAGGGAAAATGAAAGGGGAGAAGTTCAAATGAAAGCCCATTTAAACACAAAGCTATTTTACATAAGATGTCCATGTGGAAGGTTTACACATTTCAGTTCTTGGTTCTGAGTTGGAGAACTGTACTCTGCAGAAAAGGAAAGAAACCTTCAGAGACAAATCCCAGAACTCTCACTTCTGTTCAGTGCAAACAGCCCTTCAGAGGAAGAGAACAGCAGTCAGGAGAGAAGAAATTGTAGGTAAATGTGACCATATGGACTATCTCTTCAGCTTTTGTTATATCTTAAGTATTTTTTATAAGATGCCAAGGACTGACAGTCATCTCTAGCCTGGTCTGTGTCATTGCCTTAAAGCTCATGCTTGTAAATAGACCAGGGTTCTACAAAGGGTTGCCTTATGTAATATGTTAAGCACCAAAGCATTTCCAAAATATCCTTTTCCAAACTGGCTGTTCTTCCTTGATGAGAGGATTCCTGAGAGCCCAGTGGGGTCTCTGATTTTTGACTTCAGCCAGCAAAGTGGGAGGAAGCTGCATTTCACCTGCATTTCACCTGCATTTCACCTGCATTCCACCTGCATTCCACCTGCATTCCACCTGCATTCCACCTGCATTCCACCTGCTCATCCTGCTGACTGTCCTTTCTCCTGCTCTTGGATTTGCTTGGTGCTGTGGCAGCTACATGTGGGGCTGCAGTGCACTTTGGGGGTGCTCAGATTCTTGCTTCTGCCTTCATCTCTGACTTTTCCTAGGCCTGTGCTGAAGATGCCCTTCAGTTCTAGGTGCTGGAGGAGATTTTGTAGCTCAGAGGAATCGCAGCTGTGCCCTCCTTGTCTTTGTGTCATTGCTGGCGTCAGTTTGGGGTGTGTGCACACTGGAAATGTTAACGGGTCCCTGGCCAGCACTCGTGGGCACCGTGTGTCACACTCTGCCAGGGCAGCTGTGCCATCCTGCCCTGCCCTGTGTGCATGATCTCTTCCTGAGCACCGGCTCCAGGCTTTTTCTGCATGTCCTGTTTCACATGGTCTGTGGGGAGACTCCATTGTCTGGTGCTGGTCACAGAAAGGGAAAGCAGTGTGACACACTGAGTGCCTGTCACTGTGAGAGCAGGGAGGTGAGTTCTGAATGAATGTCACTCTCTGCCATGTCTGAAATCCTGATGGAACAGACATGAGTGCCACGGTCAGAGCCTCAGGACAAATCCCTCCAGTAATTAATTTCTGTCATGTGTTTTTGTCCTGTACTTAAGTGACCAAAATTCAGAGATTTTCTTGTCTTCTACAGGTGTAGAAAAAAGCATCTTTAATGCTTAATCCTCTCTGCACTGCAGCTGCTTCGTGTATGATATAATCCTCATGTATTGTCAGTGGACCAGTTACGTTCAGTCTTGCACAAAGTCGTGAGCCCAGGTTTTGTTCTGTGTTGAGTTGGAGATGCTTTCCTGTTGGGAAGGAATTGACAAGTTTGAGTAAAACCAAAACAAAACCCTCATGCAGCACCTGTGAGCTTTAGACAGTTAATACCATTCGTGTTTCCCCATGGGAACAGAAATGTGAACAGATAATCCTTGCAGTGGATTTCTGTCCTTGCTCCCTACACACAGCAAAGGAACCATCTCCATCCTACAGGGCCCCGGTTCCACCACAAAAACTGCAACAGCCCAACAAATCTGGAGTTGCAAGTCTGTTGTTTTTAAATCCTAGAATATAGTTTTGTGAATTTCTTCCTCTATTTTTTTTTTTTTTGGTTCAAAATGACTATGCATAACTGAGAAGGAAAAAAAAAATTCTATCATAAACCAGCCTGAGTGGTAACCTAAACTGTTTATTTGATGTAATGTGGAGTGATTCTTTCAAATAGATACAAATTAATTTGTGCAGTGAGCCGTTCAGCTCCTGCTTCGAAGTGCCCTGTGAGAACAGAACGAAATTTCTATTGTCATTGTAATTTGGCAAGATAGCATTTCCTCTAGGGGTGGGCTCGGTTATTTGCCTGATGCCAAAAACAGAGCAAAGGAAAATGCACAGCGTGTTTGCATGGCTCTGCTGTGGCTTTTTTTGCTAAGTGGCATTTTACAGTGCCTGTCCCCACTTCTGCTGCACTGGGGCTCCTTCTCCACAGACTTTTCTCAGGCTGTGGCAGATGTGCTACATTGCCCTGCAAATCATCATAAACACGATTCCTTCCCCTTCCCATTTTGTAACTCTTGGCTGCTCATGTGCTGTGGAAAGGAAACAGAAGAGATGAGATGTGCTCTGTACTGCTCTTTGTTTGTGGGACAAAAAAAATCAAAGCACAAACTAGAAATTAGACTTTCCCAAGTGAAATGTAATTGCACAGGAGATGTGTAGCCTTATTGCTGCATTTTGCAGTACTGCACATGCCTAAGCTCCTGCTAGGCATATTGTATTCTCAGTTTGATTTTCTGACTCTCTTCAGTAGGTGGTTATGGATTATAATTGGATATTCTGACAGTTGGCCTTCAGGCCATGACCCAGTTTGAAGTCCCTGCTGTGTTACACAAGATACAAACCCAGCCAGAGTGGAGGTCCTACAACAAAACTTCTGACAGCACTTCCCAGCGCTTCTGCTGGGAAAAAAGAAAAGTTCTCATAAGATATCAGTTTAGAGCACCAGCTCAGAAACGTCCTGGTAGCTCAGGCTTTGTGCATTTGCTGTCAGGAATTGTTTGAGGACGGTGAAGGTTTTTCTTTGCAGGTGCCAGGATGAGCCAGAGCTGCCTGACCTGAAGCCAGCTGCCCTCCCCTGTGTGAACAGGGCTGGGGAGGGGCTGGCTGGGGAGAGGAGAGCTGCAGGTGATGCACAGGTGGAGTGGGGGCAGGCTGTGGATGGGAGGCTAAGCTGGAAATCAGCATGTCCTGAGCAAAAATGGCTTTGTACTTCACACCAAAAATCCATGGGGTCCTTACCTGCATGTTGTGTTAGCACTGCAGTGTCTGATTTCTATCCAGCTTCCTCACTTGAAAGCCAGACACCCATTTCTGAGGTTGAACAGCAATTGGATGTGCTGCCTGCAGCACATGACAGCTTTCTCCTTGAAAAGTGGCTCCATAATCAAAAATGAATGTGATTCTCAGAGTTCTTTCCTGGTTTTGGAGGTACAAATGTGTATTGGCAGGACCCTGTCATACATTCCACTCTACCAAGCTTTATCTTTAATGAAATTCTGCACAATGCCTAGACTTCCCTTTAAATTACTAATACATTTCCATGTTTTTATGCAGAAAGCAATTGATATCAATACTGTTTCTTACAATTTCAAATTGCAGATCTTTTGCACTCATGGCAGAATTGTTGCTGTTAAAATCACAAAAGTTTAGAGGGATGCTTATTGGCTTTTATTTTATGTGACACTCTGAACCACCAGATGGCTTGAAAAAAACAGGAAAACATATTAATTTCTTTTTCAGCTCTCTGGGAGAAGTATGGTCTAAATCTCCTTTTTTGAGGAACACAGAGGATAATGATCTGTAGCTGAGTTGATTTTTTGGGTGGCTGAAGTTAAGTGCAGTGAAACTCACCCAGAGCACTTTTCTTGCTAACACTGATTCTTCCTCCTGAAGATTCCCCTCAGCAGTAAGGAGTGACTCTAAATTCTCTTATTTCTCCAGAATTCTCTCCAACCTGATGCAGCTTTATTTTACCTAGAAATACTTTTCTGCAGTTTAATGAACCTCTAGATTGTCACTTTGGTTACCTTGAGAAAAGCCTGGATAATTATTACAGACAGAAGGAGGGCAATATTCTTCCTGTGTTGTTTGACCGAAACAGATTTTGGTCAAATTTTGGTTATGAATTTTGTTGTCCCTATGTCTTGTATATTTATTGTTTTGGGGAAAATCCTGCATAGCATTACTCTAAACTTTGATTAGTGTGACTGTGACTGCAGCTGAAATTCCCTTGGGATTCTGCTGTGCTGCCATGTCAGTTCTGTGGGTTGGATTTGTACTTTGAGTACTTATGGTCTAACAGAGAAAAGTAAATGCACCATCTTATGTGGTTTCACTTAACCAGTAACACAGAAAAACCTTCCCTACTTCCCCAAATCCTTTGGTCTGAGAGCATGCTGCAAGGCTTGTTCTAAATGTTGTTAGAAGCAATTTGTAGCTGTGCTAATACACATCATTCTAATGCTCTTTCATCCTGGGAAGGTCTGGCACAGACATAGAAACTGAATTTTCTTGTGAAGGCGTGTAGGGCTGCTGGTTCTGTGTTTTTATCAGCAATAAAAAAAATAAAAATAAAATAGAAGCAATCAGAAAGAAAAGAAGGGGGCAGGGAGGGGAAAGGTGGGAGAAGGAAAAACCATTAAATGCTGAATTTTGTCCAGAGGCTAGCCATTAGTTCATCTTAGGGTCTGCCTTTAACTCTGCAGATACTCCTTTCATGTCATTTTTAAATGACTCCTTTTGTGTCATAAAAGAGATGCTTCATTACCTTTGCTCTTCTCTGACTCCACTTCTGTGCCAGTGATTCACAGATCTGCTTTTCCCTCCTGGCCACTTTCATTCACCCCACACTCATTTTGCCCAGCCCTCCTCCAAGTTTTGCTGATATGTCACTGCCCAAAAACCAACTTGGTGTGTTTTGTGCAAGTTCTGCTTTCTCTGACACAAGTCAAACATTGGTTATTTCTGTGTATGAACCCTCTGCAGGCAGATGTGGGACAGTTACACCTTTCCTTTGCACAGCAAACATTCTCTGCCTTTTTGTTTTCCTGATTCTGCCTTGATGGTGATGTGAAAAGTTTTTATGGTCCTTCCATATCTGTGCCCTTCCATCTCTTCAGATTTCTGCCAGCTCTCCATGGGTGTGCAAGGCTTTTTTGTGTAAGACCATTCATAAATCCTACTTACTTTCTATTTTTCTTTTGCCAGTTTTCACTCTTGCCCCATTTCAGCAACCTTAGAGATCACTGGAATCACGTAGAAAAATCTGTCTTGGTGGCCTTTTGACATGCTTGGAGAAGTAAAGGCTGGAAAAGACTCCACAATCCTTATTTTAGGGAAGATGTTCTTGTCTCGGGCTTCCTAGCTTGTAAATCTTTCTATGATGTTTTTTAAAAAGAAGTTCCACTGTATATTTTTATCAGTTTGAGAGGTTAATGTCCTAATGCACTGTTCCTTTGACTGTTATACCATTAATGTTCCACTGAGCAGTTGGTAATACCAAGTGACCAGAAAGGTTCTGGTTTCCTCTCTCTTGTCCTGATGGGACAGGATGAAAAAAGAAATAAGAAACTCTTTAAACAGATGTAGTGAGTCTTCACAGAAACATGTAAATTGCTGTAGTAATTGTTGGTGCCTAGTAACAAAAATTTAACATCTTATTAACGTTAGGGCATGTTGCATTCTCTTCTCATTACCTTTGTAAGCTTGGCTTATTCTGCAGGGTTCACACATTAACTGTGCCAAAAAAAGTCTTTTCTTAGGTGCAGCTTCCATGAATGATTAATCTGAGATGTGTCTCCAGTATGGGCTTGAGGTGTCTTTTTTCTGCTTTGTAATATTTCCATAACCATTTTTACCTGGGAGCTTCCCCAGCAGCACAATCCCATGAAGCTGTAGGATGCTCTGGTGATGTTTATATGGGATTTATTTGGCACTTTTGGCAGCACATGTGAGTGCATTTGGGATGTAGGTTGGTCAGTATTGCACCTGCACAATCCTGGGAACTCCTGAGACAAGAGGGACTGAAATCCTGGATCAGGTGAGATGTGCCTTGGCTACTGGGATGTTCTGGTGGTGCTTTCTTGTGTTCCATTGCCTTAAAGATTGTCAGCAAAATGAAATCTCATTGCCTGGTTACTTCTGGCCTCAGTAATGTTTGACTTCATTGCAGAAGAGGGGAACTTCAATATATTAATAATGTAAAGAGAGCAGAGGACAGTGAAATGTTACAAGATTTGCAGGGAAGATGCCTCTGCTAGCTTTGCAATAATTTGTTTCTGAATTTTGAAAAGCAAAATCGTGACTGGGATTAGAGTTGGTGAATTTTGGCACTTTTCTTCTCATTATTTGGAATCCAGAATGCTACTTCCTGCTGTTAATACCTGCTGCTTTTCAATAAATAACAATGGCACCACAAACATGATTATATGGCAGGATGGCTTTCTTTTTCTGTACAGCAAGTAACAGACACAGTCTCTGGCAGCCAAATAAAGAACAGAAAATGGGGAAGAAATAGCACTTGTAGTTCAGAATAAGGAGGATTGGTGGATTTTTTTATTATGCCATTTATAGAACAAAATTTGCATATTGTGCTTCACAAAGGAGTACTATGGGGTAATAATAATACATGAATTGTTATTTGGGATATGAAAGGGTAGATCTTGCAAAAATAAATAATAATGAGGGAAAATAAGAATAATAAAAAGTGAAATTATGTCAAAGCAAGCAGAAGAGTAGGATGATTAAGAAT